CAGGTGCTTTTATCTAAAGCAACTTAGTGCATTTAGGCTCTACATTTTATCAGTATGAGTTTTCTGTGAGTATGAAACCCATGACCTTGGCATTGCTAGCACTATGCTCTACCAGTTATAGTTATACATATGCTGTATACGCTAGTGTATGGTAAAGATGAAAATTCTATGCGTGTTCAAATGTCTCTAAACTCGATAAACACGGCAGCTTGCATTTGAACATGTATGTGTGTGTATATGTGTGCTGTGTATGTCTGCTTGTGTGAATGCATTCTTGCGACATGTGTGTGTATGTATGTGAGTGTGAGAATATGAGTAAGATCATTAATTAGAGGATGTGAGTGCTGTGGACAGAAATAGCAGACTGAGAGGCCTGCGGCACTGTGGGGCAAGAAGGCAAGAAACATGCAGCTTGTGACTGCAGTACAAAATGCACGGCTGTATGGTTCACATAGTCAGAGTTTAAACAGGAGTGGATTGAATAATGTCTGCATAAACCGAGGGGATAAAGTTTGGCTGGTTAGCATGGCCTTGCTAGTATATCCCCTAACTAAAAAAACCTGGTTACTAAAAGCATATTTTGTCACATTTAAAAGTAGCCGTGTATTTTGATGCAAACTTTCTATAGCTAAAGTATAAATAATTAAATATTTAAATAATTAAATAATCATTTAATTATAATATATTCTCCTGATTCTGTTTTAGTGGATTATTAAAGGAATAATTCAGCCAAAAATTTACTGGTTCCATTCATTCACCACATATCAAACTCTCTCTCACATTTCGGTTGTGACCGCAACACATTTAAAGAATGCAGACATCGCATTTAGCACTAACTGCACTCTAAACAAACCTGATAACCATATTCTGCTGCTGTGTGAACGTAACCATGTCAAGTCTCACTCTGATCTCATTTAGATGAAGTCATGATCCTTACTGGTCAGAACAAAAAGCATGTTGTCTCCTTGCTGATTCTACCTGTTCATTCACAGAGAGATGGGGCCTACGGCCATCTATTGAACAACAGCATCCTCTAGTGGACATTAGCACAGAACAAGCTACGTGATCATGCAAAACCTCATTACCACAAACGACCTCATGAAATGTATTCAATAGGGAGAAGGACAGTTCCGTGTTTACTTTAATGATTAGAACAATGAGAAGGTTGTTTGTCCTCTGTTTCCAAAATCAATTCTCACTCTGATATATCTTATGAGGCTATCAAACGCAGGCCCAGAGTAATATACAGTTGCACTGGAGAATACAACAAGTGCTAAGTACATCTGACAGTATTTGGATACTCAGTGTATTTCCATATCTAAATAACCTCAGATGAACTGTCAGCATCTCTGTCTTAAAGTGTGTTTAAAAAATGTGTTTTCACTCATAAAGAAGGCTAATGTAGTTTTGGTGAAAACCTTCAGTTTGTGAGGTTAGTGTACTCAGGTAGGTGAAAATGATTTGTCCTACTTAAAAAAAAAAAACCTACACAGAGAAACATTGTTTTTGGGGTCATTTAAATGAATCAGTGTTGCTTGCTCTCTCTTTGCAAGTAAAGCTTGTGAAAGCTGTGGGTGAGGTGTTAGATTTGTGTCGTGACAGTTGCAGATCAATTTTACATGTATGCATTTGGCAGGTGCTTTTATCTAAAGCAACTTAGTGCATTTAGGCTCTACATTTTATCAGTATGAGTTTTCTGTGAGTATGAAACCCATGACCTTGGCATTGCTAGCACTATGCTCTACCAGTTATAGTTATACATATGCTGTATACGCTAGTGTATGGTAAAGATGAAAATTCTATGCGTGTTCAAATGTCTCTAAACCTGATGTGTATGTAAGTGCACATGAGATTTGACCGTTATTGCGAAATGGCAACTGTTGATTGTAGCATATAAAAATGTGCATTTCAGTCTTTTCCTCATACAAGGTTTTTGCGGGGGCTACTTGTACAGTGCCTGTGGTCATTTTAAAAATTTTGAGACATCCATTCATTTTCATTATATGGTCATTCTGCCAACCATATTTTGTGTTCTACAGAAGATAGATAGTCATACAAAAAAAAAACATCTGAGTAAATGATGACAATTTTCATTTTTGGGAACATGTTTACAAGTGGCTTGTTGCTAGGGAAAAAATAAATACTGTCAAATACTCCTGCCTGCCAGGCAGTGCCATGCCAAACTCAAAAAGAAGTATTTTTGCACTGAAAAAAAATGACACAGTGCCGTCAATAGGCTTCCCAATTTTACAGTAGTTGCAGCACTCATATACAAACACATGATGGCAGTGTTGAGCTGGTTTAACTCAAACGTACAGACGCATCAGGTGAGTTGAGACCACACTCTCAGGCAGTTGTCACTTTTCATTGATTGTTGTTATTCTGCTGCAAATCTCAGTCACTCTCAACATATCTGTGAGAAAATACCTGAGGTAAATAACTAGTGAAGACAAAACAAGCTATTTACCAACATTTATGTATTATAATAGAACAGGTTGTTTTAAAGTGTGAGGAAAAGTAAAGAGTGAGGAACTGTGACATTGTACATACTTAGTACTACTTAAGGCTTGAATGGCACTGTTCTCCAACAGTCCATAGCTCAAGGTTGAACAGCCTCCACGTGGCTCATCTGCAGGCACGTGCAGAGGGGGGTGCGATGGGTACTTGAGCACCTGCCCCTTTTCCCCTTGATGCCCAATGTGCCCTTTTGTCAAGGCAATTTTTAATTTATTTTTTAATACCATTTTGTGAAGGCCTGCCCAATCTAACTATTAGGAAAATAAATTAATAATAATTTAGTCGTAAATAAAATTATCCACATGATGATGACCTTTCACCTGACGATCTCATCAGGGACTATCCCTCACATTCAGACACCTTTAATGTAGCACACTACCAGGATGCCTTCATAACGTCCGTGGCTGCCGGTAAGTGGAGTTCTCAGCGGAGCGTTGTGCTTGTATACTTATATTATTAAATTATTATTATTATACAAGAACTGCGTGAAAAGAGCATGCACAGCTGTTGTTTATATTGCTGTTTGTAGCCTGTGGAAGTAAGGTTAGCTGCAGTAAGGGGCTATAATATTTTTGTTCAATATTTTCCTAATGACAATTTTATGATCGGTTTATAAAGGCTACTACGAGCACCTTTTCCCCATTTTTATCACAGAATAAGGCAGGAAATTTATAGTTTCTATAGGCTACTAAATTATATGTCAATCAGTACTGCATTATTCATAAAGTTTATTACCTGGAGAAAACTTAAAAAACACATAAACCGTATATTTTCGCAATTGTGTGTTTATTGTCTTCATGTTTTCTTTCTGCTTTTTATTCAGCTCAGCTACAGCGATAGCCGGATGCTTTTGTCCATATTAGCGTCATAAGTCATTCCTTCTATGAGTCTGTTTTGGACTTTCTGCACGAGAGCGACCTCCGGCTTCGAGTATGAATTAAACATACACTGCATGAGAGTGTTGAGCGCTCCAGATATTCACCTCTCCTCATTTTGGATACGAATAAAACGTGCATAGACTATCGATACTGTCTCTTTGAATTTAAATCTAGAATCCTCTACGTGAACACACCTGCCCGAATAAAGTGCAGGGGACGAAATTAAATTTCTTTAAAATTAAATATAAAAAATGCAGCTAACGTTCTACACACAGCAATATAAACAAAGGTGCCTGTTCTCTTTTGTTCTTGCGGTTTGATTGGGAAAAGTTTAAAGGGCGTCGAGGGGTCTTGCCTTTATGTTATCTGACTAAAAAACTATTACTTTGAACTTTTTTTTATTACAGTATTTATTTTAGAAACGTAGAGTGCCTTAAAAATAATTATCACAACCCTGATAAAACTCATAATTTTCTCATCCTCCGATTTATAGGCTACTTATCAATCCTGCTTTTATCATCATTATAATTAAAAAAATGAATAAATTCAGAACAGGATTATAATATAATTCTATTTTAAATAAGAAATATTTTTTCTACAACAACAGTAGTGTTTACAACAGCAAAACCACCATACCCTGTAAACTCAATAATAATAATAGGCCTAATTTAATTCCGTTTCTATTTTCAGAGTGATTAAGAGGTGCAAAGAACTATTTATTTAACTTTTAAACTTAAAATGGTCTTTTCTGTTCGGTTTCTTTTTCAAAACAGCATCACGGCATTTGCTGCTATCAATACAGAAGCATCTGTTTTGTACATACATGTCTCAGCAAGGAGCACAGCCCTAAAAGCTGTGCTTCATGTGCCCCTTTTATACTTTGAGCACCTGCCCCTCCAAAGGTCTCTGCACGGCCCTGCTCATCTGTTTAATTATGTGACTTATGTGGCTTCAGGCTGGGGATGGTGGGAGAGAGTGAGAGTGGCCTGCATGGCTGGGCTGCTGATGGACTGCAGTCAGCTCTGGTTAGTGCCAAGCACCAGCTCCGTGCCCATCCGCATTCAGATTTCCCATTACTCTTTGATTAAGGGAGTGTCAGAAGCACATGTGATTGATGAGCTGTCAGGGGAAAGCCGCCAACTGGAACGCCTCATCCTCTTCCTCATTAAACACTCCAGGAGAACAGCTCCTCTTCTTCACGCACATATAAACAATACACTCATGGAGAGAGATCCTAATTTAGCTCGAGCTGTGAGCCGCCTCTGTGTCAGGGAAGACAAACCTTTCAAACAGCGAAGGCTTCAAACAGCAGATTGTTGCACAAAGATCTGGGGGTATGCATCTCCCCTGACTCTCTGATTTTTTTGTGCTCACAAAAGAGAGGGATCAAGAGGAGCAAGAGGAGAGGAAGAAGACAGAGGGATGGATGTGGAACAAGGCTGGAGAGAGACAGGGGAGGGGAGGGAAGAGGAAGGGAGAGAAAGAGAGAGATAGATGCAGCCAATGCGCAGCATGGCATCTTGAAAGAGCGCGAGGAGAGAGAGAGAGAGAGAGAGAGAAGAAGGGAGGGAGAGGGAGCGGAGGAGTGCGAGTCAGGCACTGGCAGTCGCTCTTCGGCTGAAGAATAACGTGTTTCGTGCATCGCTGTGATGCCGTCGGATGCGAGCATCTGGTACATGTGAGCTGGTTTTGAGACTCTTGTGTACACGTGCAGCCGCCTGTCCCTTGGCTGGAGGAAGAGGGAGGAGGAGGGTGCATCAGGTTCGTGTCCATTCCTGCACGCTGCATCTGGACTCTGGCGCCAGGGAGTGTGGGGGGGCACTAGGGCCAGGTGGCTGGCCGAGGGACAACATGAGCGTTCCGCTCCTGAAAATTGGCGCGGTGCTCAGCACCATGGCCATGGTCACCAACTGGATGTCCCAGACGCTGCCCTCGCTGGTGGGGCTTAACGGAACCACCATCTCCCGCGCAGGCACTTCGGAAAGGATCGTCAGTGTGCGTAACCCTTCACTTTTCTACTCTTCCTGTCTGTTTATCTCTCGGTGTGTCTGTTTACTCATCCGAATAAGCCAATAAGTCAGGACCTTTTGTGTTAGAGTAGTTACACTCCTCTGTGGTTACAATCCTCAGAGATTTGCTAGACAGGCTTTTAGGGGGATTTTCAGGGCAAGAGGCAGGTAAATTGAATGTGTGTCTGGCTTTGGGGGTTGGTTACAGAAGAATTGATGGCTGGTGTGGGTGAGTGATTCTCAGTGGGAGATGATAGACGAGGAAGTTATACCCAGTGAGATTCATGACTCCTGTGAGGATATCCTCACTTGGCAGGGGGAGAGGAGTTAAGTACCTCATGACTGATGTTCAGGTCAAATAGAGACAGGGAGGCAGGATTGTCTCCATGAGGCAGTGTCTCACCTGCTGATGGTACCAAGACATGGTTAAACTTTAATAGCATTTGAGCCAACTCTTTTCTTCCAAAGAGGCACCATTTCTCTTTTTCCCACCCCCTCATGCTCTCCTTTTTTAATCAAATCCACTGTACTTATTTTTTTTTTGTGAACTGTGCGCATTGACTCTGTCCATAACAGAATTAAGTGCCTTGTGCGAGAGAGGCCGGGCCTTTGGCACTGTCAAAGCTGTCACATTTATATTGTCTCCATGAGGCAGTGTCTCACCTGCTGATGGTACCAAGACATGGTTAAACTTTAATAGCATTTGAGCCAACTCTTTTCTTCCAAAGAGGCACCATTTCTCTTTTTCCCACCCCCTCATGCTCTCCTTTTTTAATCAAATCCACTGTACTTATTTTTTTTTGTGAACTGTGCGCATTGACTCTGTCCATAACAGAATTAAGTGCCTTGTGCGAGAGAGGCCGGGCCTTTGGCACTGTCAAAGCTGTCACATTTACAGTAAAAACAGAATGAGAAGAACAAAATCAAAGTAAGACTCTAGAGCAAGGGTGTCAAACTCAATTCCTGGAGGGCCAGAAACCTGCAGAGTTTAGTTTCAGCCCTAATTAAACACACCTAATCCAATTATTCAAGTCCTTCAGGTTTATTTGAAAACTACATGGTATGTGTGTTGGAGCAGGGTTGGAACAAAACTCTGCAGGGCTCCGGCCCTCCAGGAATTGAGTTTGACACCCCTGCTCTAGAGCTAAGCACTTTGTTATATCTTAAATCATTTCACTTTTTTAATGTTAGTTAGTGTCTAATGTTGCTGTTAGAGCATAAACAATATCTGCAAAGTTACAAAGCTGAAAGTTCAATGCAAAGGAGATATCGTCTTTTAAAATTCTGGCAGTTTAATGCCTACAAAAAACAGCTGGTAGGGACTACAACAAGTTACTTCCCGGGTGCGTGACATCACAAACCCAGATAAACCCCGCCTTCGGGAAAAGGCAGCAAAGGGGGCGAGGCCATGCTGCGCTGCTTTAGAGAAGAGGAAGAGAAAACTAGAGGTGCACATAAAAATCTATTCATATATGAATCGTGATTCTGTCTTCTAAGGATTCTAATGGATTCACAAGTTTCAAAATCAATGTTCTAAAGCAGGAGTTCTTAATACTGTTCCTCACATCCCCCTGCTCTGCACATGCTCTGCATCTCTCTCTCTCTCATTCAGCTCACCTCCAACAATGAACTGTTACAATTATACACTTATTTTCATATAGCTATGAGAAGCGTTAAACATGGACGCACGTGCAGTTGCTGTACTGTATTAAAGCTTTAATCAGGATAAAACTGTATATTAAAAGCTAACATAAGCAGTAGCATTTATAAATAACAGCGCATCTAAAAATATGAGTCAACAACAAACAAAAAACATAGGCCTGCCATTAAAAGCCGTGTTTGCACAGGTTCTGCACGATTCTCTTCAATAATATCCTCTGCTTCTCAATTGGGCTCAAACTGATAAGCGATTTTAACGATGCAGTTGTTTACAATATAACCGGAGCACATTCCGCCATGGTGAGAGGCGGGACGTTTAGACGAGCACTAGAGGCGGTTTAGCCAATCACAACACACTGGGCTAGCTAACCAATCAGAGCCCATTGCCTATTTCTGAGGGAGGGGCTTCATAAAAGAAGGAAATGATCAGCCCGTTTCTCAGAGAAGGGACAGAGAGGTGTGGATTAAAGGTAAATTATGTGAAAAATAATGTGTTTTAAAAAAAAACGAAACATTAACACATGTTAGACTGCACCCCATAAACACAATCAAGCCTAGAAAAAACCCAGTGAACCACCCCTTTAAAAGGTTAAGTAAGCACTGGCTGAAATTTAAACGGTCACAATTCTGCCAGAATGTAAGTAATTATCTTGCATGTGTGAGTGTGTATGCTTTTGTTTTCCAAATGTTGGGTATTGAAAAATGGGACCAGGTGTGAGTAGGTGAAAGAGGGTGAATGGAGAGTGAGATGTGATCCCTGTAACGTTTTCTGGATCATTAATGTTGAGAGACCGCCTGGGGTATCTGCTGTGTAGTATCTGAGCATCTGCCCCACAATAAAATCTTTACCCGGCGTAGCTTATGGCCAGGAACGACACTCCATCTGGATGAGAGAGGAGACGCTGTAGGGGTCATTTGGGTCGGTCAGGATGCCAACACTGAAGAGGAGTCTGCAGAAACTGTCTATCACAGCTTTGTCTAACACATTCACTCTCGCTTCGGAAGACTGTTACTACTCACCACAAGCTAAAAGCTATAGGGATGGAGGCTCCTTTTCTGTAGAGCTGTTTAACATGTGGAATTCTACAGTCAACACCAACACTGCTTCATTTCAAACCAGATTATTCATCTAGTCATGTGCCCGTGTGCACCCACTGATCATGCCATAAGACGGTCCACTTTGAGTACTATTTATCCAAATGTAGTCACCAGGATGCTTGGTATGTGGGTAAATGAGAGGAAGCCAAGCAGAAAATTCAGAATTGAAGAATTGGCTCCCTTTCAATCAATGAATGTAAATTTAAACTGAATCAGAATAACAGGATGAGGAATTTACTGAACTGCAATTCTGTGAAATTAAGGGGTCTTTCACCCTTATCTATCATTCTACCTTTAAAAAACTTCAATGTTTTTAAATTTTGTTTTCAAAACATTCCAACTTTGCTCTGTAAAGCCAACATTCAAAGTTTATCTTGACAAATTTGGCTTTACAAGTTAAAAATTATAGTCATATGAACTTTAGGAATTTCAATTCATTTTAATTTACACTTGCAACTTGCAATTGCAATTCTGCATCCTATTTGCAATTTCGGTTTAAATTGAATTCCAGTTTAAGAACTGAATTGGCATTTAAAAGGCATTCTCAGTTCAGTGCTGAATGTCACACAAATCTAAAGCTCAGGTTAGGTGCCAGCTCCAGAAATTTGATAATGCCTATTTCAAATACCTGCAAAGTGGAAACTACTGGAAAATGAGCCAAAATTGTTCAGGACATTTATTTATTTAGCTAAAGTGGCACCCATTGAAGCTCCACTATCGGTAGTCATCATTACCCAAAACACATTAGCATTTGTGAACTCCCCTGTATCTCATTTCAAGCAATCACTTTAAAACATTGCCTCACTTCACCTCAAGGAAAAACCAAGGGGAAATTAGCATACATTAAAAAACTAATTTATTCTCTGTGATAAGTGTGAAGCTATCCAAAGCGATCTGACTTTTCTAAAGGCTCAAAATCTAATCTCAAAAGCAGCTTGCTCTCAGTCAGAAAGAGAGATGCATCACTCTGTTCTTGAGATGAGGTGATGATCATGTGAAATGAGCTGGAGAATGGAGGTGTGGTCCGTGAAGCAGAGTGACTGATGGACTCATAGCAGGCTGCAGGGATGCCCTTTCTTTTCTTCAAAGCAACTTGTCTTCCATGCTGCCATGATGATCTAGGACCCACATGACTGTCCAGTCTACCGTTATGTCACTGCTACACTTTAAGTGTGCCGTATTCCATCAGCTCTGAGCAACAATCACACCGTGCTTCACTTGCTCTTTTTTTGCCCTTCTCAGCTCAGCTGCTAAGTCATGTGAACTTGTCACGTGTAAAGATCATCACTACACTAGTGATACCAAACAGAATTTTAAAATGCTTTTTCACGTTTTCCCAAACATCCCTACTGCCTCTTCTGCCCTACCCTGATTTAATCCCAGTATCCAAACAGGTAGTCTCACCCCAAATTCTCACCATTGGTTAAACATGCAACTGACACTCAAAAATGTTGAAACCGTGACAAAGTCAATTTTTTTTAGAAAGCTACAGATTATTTATAATTGAAGTTACACTTCACCTATAAGGAGGAAAAAACTCATGTAGGTATGGAAAGTATAAAAGTATACAGGAATGTCTCAATACCGCAATGATTGCTGGGTAAAGATTTTATTATATGTTTGTGTAGGCAAATGTGTGTGGCAAATACCGCTGGTTCAGGGGTGAGTCTGACACTAACTGTCTCCTCGATTATGAGAAATAAATGAGAGGCGAGTGAGAAGCCGTGGGACAATTTGCAACAAATGTGTAATGAACACAAATGCTTAACAAAGCCACAGGCCCATGTGGCTGATATCAGCTGCTGTTTCTCATTTTCATTGGACCAAAATATTAAAGGAACTTCATGGAAACTGATATGCATAAATAAGCACCAGAAACAACATTCTGCTAAACTCTACTGACTCTGTGGGAATTGGAATCATTGGGAGCTTTGGAATTTTTTCTTTCTTTCATTGGACCGGCTCAGATTGGTCTGTTAGGAAAGCATCAAAACACAGCTCTGCTCAGCTGTTGCAGCCCACCAGGGATCTCTAAATGAGAAAGTGAGGTTGAACCACTTCGGCTGCTGTCACCACCACACACACCCACAGATTTACAGCCTTGAAGGGACATCTAATCACCTTAGTCTTCAGGTTTATTTACTATTTGAGCTGATACAAAAGGTTAAATTGTTGCTGATTAGCCTTGTTAGCCCATGTTGGTAGAAGCTGTTACACCATCTGACTGTG